TGTCCAAACGCCATCATGAACTTTCAAACACCCTTTCCCTTGCCTGACCCCTGCCAGTCCAAATGGTCTGTGATTGCAATTTGCTTGGAATTGTGGGAAGCTTTCATCCTCTAAATCAGCTCTTTGTGATGAGAGAGGAAGCTCTCCCGAGATTTATACATTTCTCCCAAAAAGGCCTTTTGTATCTCTATTCTCCAGCTCTTCTGTCCCAAATGAAGTTTTCATATCATGAAACTCAGTGAGTGGCAAAGGCAGCCTTATCAATAATGGAACGTACTTCACTTTCCAGAACAAATAAGTTGGGAGACTAGATCACTATCTCAGGATGCCTCCAGGACTTAATAAATTTCATTCCAAATATATTTTCCTTGTATCCACCAAACATCCTACGCCTCTCCACCACTCTCTTTACCCACTCATTTTCCTGATCACGCTTTTACCTCCTGTCAATATACGTGCTTTTTGATAAACTGGTTGTGATGTACCAACTGCTTTGAAACTCTGATGCTTTGATATATGATCACTTCTGCATGCAAGTGACAAAACAACCTCTGTGTATCCCTATCATTTCTATGTGCAGAAGACAATGTACAAAAGTGATTTTGTTTGTGTACACAAGAGTGAAGGCCGAGTTGAAATTCTGGGCCACAATTATTATCATGGTATTTCATGTTTTCCAGAGAAAAGGGGGGGGGGAACCCCTATGCATTCCATGCTCACTTCAGAATGGCTACAAAACTTTTGCCAATCTTTTATTAGCTAGAGCAAAAACCAATGTCCTATTATTTTCTCTTGCTCCCTTGTTGATTGGACCTAACCCCAAAATAGATTCCCTCAATTTCTCTTTTGCATCAGTTCTATGCTTTGACAAAACATAAATAATAAACATGTTTTGTAGCTGAGACCGCTTTATATGAAAGGCTGCAGAGTTTTTGTTTCCCAGAAGAATCATACTTAGAGAATGAGAATGAGAATAACTGAATCTAAAGAGACCAGTTTACATGGGGTCTGTAGGTTATCAGACAGCATTAGAATTTTTCTCTGCTTTCCATTACAGCTAAAGTCTAAAGCTGCTTTGCAGGAATTTAGCACAATCCTGCTCCCTTTTAACTCAATGGCAAAACTAGTTGGTTTCAGTGAGGTTGCATCAGGGTGATAATTTCTTTCTGGTGTTTCACAGATAATATTATTTTCCATTTTAATCTATTTGAAACTGCCAATCAGTACTTTGCTTTATTCTCTCTAATTTCAATTGGGTCTTGACTGTTCTGTACAAGGGTATATCATAGCAACATAGGACCGGAAAGGAACCTCCTGGGTCATTGAATCCGGTCCTCTTCCTAAGAGATCTCTGTCCTTTGATAGGAGAGTAAGTAAAGGGCAAATGTCTCCTTGATTCTAGGCATGTGGGCGCAGAAAATTAAAATCTTTCCATAAGGCAGTGCCAAAGATGTTTCCATTCTGAGGAAAAGTGGATTAAATTTAGCTGAAAACACAAGAGAGCACCTCATGACCTAGTTCCACAAATAATAATTAATAATAGTGAGTATGTATGTATATATATTCACAGGCACACACACTGAGATGCAGTGGTTCCCAAACTTTTCCCCTGCTCTACAAAATGGCATCCTCTGCACAGCGTGATCTGGCACATATACTGTGTGTGAGATCGCGCTGTGCCAGGGATGCCATTTTATAAAATGGCGTTCTCGGCACACTTGGGATTGCTGCGACCTCATTTGTTGATAGAGCGACCCCACTTGGGGTCATGACCCACAGTTTGGGAAATGCTGTCAGATGCCTGATGTGTTCTAGCGAATAACGGTCTGTTTACAAGCAATGATAGAATCGAGTGGAGTACATGTGAAAATTCCTGTACCTTGCTTTTTTTCCAAGCCAAAAAAATTAGACCTTTTATCAAAAATTCCTGAGAAACTAAATAAGATGTGATGTAAAGCTTTGCATAAAGTAGTTGCAAAAATTTCCATGTGAAATTCCACAAAATAATTTTTAGTTTCATACAGTGCTTATTTTTAAGAATAATTTTTTTTAAATTATCTCCTGTATTAATTAGGACTTCCATTTAATGGGGATTTTCATTTCCAGCGGAGGAGTGCAGTTCCCATGTATGTGGATTCTAATATATACTGCATAAAAACACATTTATGGGAAAAACTGGATTATTGTATTTAAAATTAATACTATTTCTGTTCTTCTTTTACACTTACGTGCTGTGACAGAAACACTGCCTGCCTTTCACTGCCCTGTGCTTTATCTTTATTCAACAGTTTATACAAAGTAACCTTTTAGGTTTAAGAAACCTTCAACATTTCTTCTGTAGGCACTGGCGTACATTAAGAATCAGATCAGCAATGGAAGATATTTTAGCCATCATCTAAGACATGCCCTAGGTTTATACTCAACATTTTTTTAAGCCTATAAAAAGATTATTCATGAAAATGGTCTAATTGGCCAGAAGTCTCTCCAGTGGCATGGCGTTTTATTAACTGGAGGAGACATTGCAGACATTATGCTGAGATAAATCTGACCTGACGTTTGCTAATGTTTTTTAAGAGTAGAATACCGGACTATGTGGGAATAATTTTGCAGGTCCCTCCACTCCAGGAAACTAGCATTGCTTTAAAAAAAAACTTTTTTGTGAATTTTCTATTTCCTATTATCAGGGATTTTCTCTTCACCCTCCCTCATATCAAATAATGCACTGAAAAATGTCAAAGATTAGGACAAAGGGCCAGAGAATTAGCCACCTCCTATGTGGGCAGAATAAGTAGTGACAAGGTCAGGATTGAAGTCCATGAATCCCTTCCTTCATTACTTCAGTCTCCCACTTTCTATTTCATTTTTAAGGTTGCCCTGAAATGTGAAGACTTCTTTTAATGCCTTATATGAGAGTTACTGTGAGAAAGGTGATCAAAAGGACTCTACTGGCTTGGGTGCCCTTTATCTCCAAGGAAGGTGATGCACAGCATCTGGAGATGATGGAACGCATGATTAACATTACCACAGAGAATGATTAATATCTTCTTAAAGCACCTACTTCCAGATTATCCATCATTTCATTAGAGTGAAAAAAAAAGTTCTTTCTGAAAGGGGCTGTGCCCCTGAACCATGAATAACTAACCCACCTCTTGACATGTTTACCAATTGAGTAGCAGAGTATGCTTAATATTTTGTTGCACAAATGATTTTTGCCAAGAAAAAAAGACAGCATTTTGGACAGTAGTTTAATAAAGCAGTTATGCAATTTTCATATGCATGTCAAGGTCTCATTTGTTAAAAATATTAACCCTTGCTTCTGACATAAAACATTTATTTTATATTTTTGTCCTAAAATATCCTAGCTATATTTTGTGCAAGAGATTTTTTTAATAAATACCACAACATTGTAATTTGCATACACATTCAACATTAAAAAGCAAATGCAAACATTAAAAAGAGGCCTCTTCTGCCAGGATCTCTTAAAGAAGCCTGCTGTTTTCACAGAGCAGCAGTTCAGGTAGGTTGATTTATTTAGGCCTTTGAATGAATCAGCTGCATTACAGTCCAGACCAGGGGTGGGCAAATGACAGCCTGCGGGCGGGATCCAGTCCATCAGGGCTTTGGATCTGGCCTGCGGGATTGCCAGCACGTGGCGCAGTGGGGCTAAGACAGGGTCCCTGCCTGCCCTGGCCCCACACTGCTTTCAGAAGCAGCTGGCATGTCCCTGCGGCTCCTGGGGGGAGGAGGCAGAGGGCTCCACGCGCTGCCCTCACCTGCAGGCACTTACCCCCCACAGCTCCCATTGGCCGGGAACAGGGAATGGGAGCTTCGGGGGAGGTACCTGCAGGCGAGGGCAGCACACGGAGCCCTCTGCCCGCCCCTCCCCCAGGGGCTGCAGGGATTTGGTGCCGGCCGCTTCCGGGAGTGGTGCAGGGCACTGCATGCCGCTGCCACCCTGGAGCCACTCAAGGTAAGCGGCGCTGGGCCGGAGCCTGCACCCCGAGCCCCTCCTGCACCCCACACCCCAACCGCCATCCTGATGCCCCTGCCGCACCCTGCACCCCTCCAGCACCCCAACTCCCTGCCCTGAGCCCCCTCCTGCACCCCAGCCCCCTGCCCTGAGCCCCCTTCCGCACCCCGCACTCCATCCTGCACCCCAACCCCCTGCCCCAGTCCTACATTCATGGCCCTGCATGCAATTTCCCCACCCAGATGTGGCCCTCAGGCCAAATAGTTTGCTGACCCCTGGGGGTCCAGACCCAATCTTGCAAGAGGCCTTTTATCAGTGCTGATGAATTTGCTAGAGGCTGCACCAAATCCATCAGGAACCATAGGCTGGTAACATTTGGATCCGAATGAAGAGATATGGGAACCCGCTGAGAAACTGTAGGAGGAAGGAAACATCAATGTAAATTTGGCAACCATCTCCCTGTTTACTGGTATCTGCATTCTTTTTTTGCTAATGGCACTGCACATCTCTAAAGTTCAGATCAATATAGTGCCACTTTGGTGTCATGCTCACATGCATAATATCTTCTTATGTTAATCCTGTTTCCAGGGGGTTGTGACAGGTGGTGGTGATGCAGAATGCTGAACTGGTGATTATTAAACATTTGATTTATCACATTTCAGTACAAATGTCTTTCAGATCAATAAGAACTTACAGGAACTTTGTGTATGTGGGTGTCAATTTAACAGAAGTATCTGTGTAAATTGATAGTGTTATACATTTCATAATTTGTCATAAGCAACCTTTCCCCTGGTGAGTTGCAGATTTTACAGCATGTTCTTGCTGAAGTGACGTCCGAAAGGATCAAAACCACCAGTAAATGCTCTAAAATAGTACCTCTCCCACCACCCTTCTTCCTTTGTTAGAGTCTAGATTCATTTTTCTTATAATATGCCCTGATTCTATTGGCCAAAGTTTGAACTCTGGGCAGCCTCTTCTTGCTGTGTAGGTAATAACGGAAGCCAGGAGAAATGTCTCCTGAGAACTTCAGGCAATTGTTCATTTAAATCCCTTAAAAACCAAGAGAAGTGAAAACCAGCTGTCATCTTCCGGACTGTTTTCAGGATTGATGAAACAGCAACCAGCTGCAAAAGAAAATGTTACAATGTTTAATGCTTCTCAATATCCAGCAGCCTCTTCCTAATGCATAGGTTGTGCAGGTGGTGGTATAGGGGAGAATAATGGCTCCAGAAAGATACTTACGGCCTTTGTGTTACAAGAGACGATGAACTTGAACACTTTTCTCTCCCTCTTTTCCTCCAAAGACCATGCACTTGAGACTCAGTTGTGCATGCATGAAAGTTCTATAAACATTACTTAAACAGCAGCCAAAAGTGACCTTTAGCCAGCTCTGGCCTACTTCTCCTCTTGTTGGAGCTCAGCACTCCCATTCAGTGGACTACTTGTCCTACTCTTTGCCCTCTCTGCTCTGCTGCAGTCGTCCTGCTTTTTTTCCTCTATGCAACTGCTGTCCAAACCAGCTGCACCCACTACATCTTCAGCAGTGGACCGGAGAGGGTATTAATCATATTTTTGAGGAGGACACTCTGCTATTTATCTCCCTGACACCTCCAGCATTTGGGAGCCCAGTGCTGCGCACAGACCATTGACTAGTAATATTACACATTACCGTGCTCCATTGCCTCTCCCTGCCCTCTTCATTGAGTGGCTGTTCAACAGTGGAGTTGTGTTTGTTCAATCAGACATAATTTATACCTTTTTTGTTCCTTCTGGAGAGCCCTTGTTAATTTTAAGTTTAAGCACTGCATTTCCCGTATAATTCCAGCGCCAACGTCACTGACACTGAAGATGCTAAAACAGACCTGATTCCAGAGTCGCTCAAACACATTGGTTTTAAATCACCAAATAGATGGGTTAAAAATAAAACGTCAAGGGAGATCATCTCACGCACACGCTAAAGCTTCTAAGTTTTATTGCATGTCTAAGAATATATATGTCTTCTATCTTAAAAGGGAATTCCTATAACAACATACGGTACTGCGATCCCCTGGCTATTATCCAAAAGGCAAAGGCTGCAAAGAGTAAGAGATTAATAATTCAGCTAATTTCTAGCAAGGTTTTTTTTAAGTTATTTAAAAAAAATGAAGGAGAAAAAAGATCTGATGTACAGCAAAACAACTAATCATTCTTCCTGGCGTTTGTTACCCTGTTGGATTAATCAAACTGTGTAATGAGAGTAGTTGGCTTATGATCTGCTTAATTTTATACTCTTTAGACAATATAAAGAAATAGCAACTATGTCTATAGGTTTGTGGGGAGAGGAGGGTTATTCACTGTGTGGTGCATGTGATTTATTTGTGATAGGAAGTCCTTCCGAAATCAGCTCCAAGTTCCTGTCTCTATTAAGTAAATACATAATTAAAATGTTATATTTTAGCTTTCGCCTCTCGCGAAGCCTAAGGATGGATTATCAGCAAATATAAATTGATGTATCTCCATTGATTTCAGTGGTGTTGGGCTGATTTACACCACTTGAGAATCTGGCCCCTTATGTCACAGCAAAATGTCCTGTTGACAGAGCAGGACTGGAGGCAGGTCCCGCCAGATCCAATTAGCGCAGTGTATAATAATGCTCCTTACTCCAGACTGGCTTCTGCCCACTCCACTCCACTGAAACTGCTCTTGCCAAGGTCTCTAGCAACTTTCATAACCAAATCTCAAAGTCACTATTCCATTACCATTCTGCTTGACCTCCTAGCTGCTTCTGACAATGTTGATTATAAACTCCTTTTTGAAGCCATCCTCTTCTGGTTCTCCTCCTACTTCTCTGCTAATTCCTTCTATGTCTCATTCAGTGAGTCCTCCTTACCTCTCCCCACTCTTCCTGGGGCTCCTTCGGACCTTCAGGACTCTGTCCTTGATCCTCTCTTCTTCTCCATTTACACCCTTTCTGTTTGTGACCATATCTGTTCACACGGCTTCAACTATTCCCTTGGTATTAACAACTCACAATTCTACTTCTCTGCTTACTTGTCTTCAAGCATCCAGCCCTGGATCTTTGCCTTTCCCTCTGACATCTGATCCTAGATGTCTTCTTGTCAGCTTAAATTTAATATGGACAATACTGAAAAACAACTTCATCACCACCATCTTCCCTATCACTCAGGCCTATCAACTTGGGTTCCATCTTGACTCCACCATTCCCCTTGCCTTACATATCCAGGCGATGTCCAGATCTTGCCACTTCTTTCCATCACATTCCCAAGTTTTAGACTTTTATCCCAGACGCCACAGTTAAAAGTCCACTCTATGCTGTCATCATCTCCCATCTTGACTACCTCCTCTAACCTCCCTGGCACACTCTTTGAATCCCTTGAAAACAGAGCTGCAAAGATCATCTCCCATTGTTCCAACCATGTCACTCTCTTCTTTCAATCCCTCTGTTCCCCCTTTTTCACCTCATCAGCTTCAAGTTTCTTGTCCTCACCTTATAGCCCCCTTCACAGCTCAAACCCTCCTTATTTATCTACCCTTGTATTTTATCAATTCCCCACTGCCGCTGTTCTGTTAATGATTCCAGGCTGTCCACTTCTCACAAAAGTATCTGCACTCTTTCTTCCATGCTGCTCTTATGCATGGAATGCTATCCATAAATAGTCTGTAAAGTCACTACCCTGTCCTCCTTCAAATCCATCCGGAACACCCTTTTCTTCCAACATGCCTACAGAAAATTGCCAACTAATAATGATGAAGTAGAGGGGCAGTGGGCTGATGTCTATTTTATTTGTTTGTTTATTTATCTTATACTTAACACACACCTCCACACACACACTAAATAACTTCCAGCCATCAAGGTCATATTCGATGTAACTACATATTCCTATCATTATTGTCCTCAGTCTTCTTCACTCAATCCCTTCTCTTGCATATTACACCCTCTTAGGTGTTTTGTCTTAAATTAGATTAAATGCTCTGTAGAGTAGGAATCATGTTTTCCTGCATGTTCCTATGGCACCTAACATACTGAATCCCAAGTCTTTCATATCTTCTACCCAAGAATCTCAAACAACCTCACAAATATTGATTGATTCTCAAGCACACCGATATTGCACTATTTCCACTTTATAAACAAGGAAAGTGATGCACAAGGAGGTTAACAATATGATCAAGCATGGAATGAGGCAAAAATAGTATATGATCTTATAAGTAAAAACTGTGCCATAATGCATAGGCACAAAGCAGGGAAGGGTGAATTAAGGTTGCATGTTCAACCTTAATTCTGGCATTCCCTAACTTTGTACTGCTTGACTTTGCAACCTTAAAGTTCTTTTAACATAGTGTTTTGTATGTAATTTCCTAGGTTCAAAAAAAAAGTAGACTTAAAATGGAAATTCCATCAGGTTGACACCCACATAGGTCATCAGAACGTTGCAATCTTTAGATCTGCAGCCCAAACGTCTACCACTTGAGCTAATGGAGTAACTGGTAATAGTGGTAAGCTGTTATTGTCTGTGGGCCACCTACTGGACGGGGATGGAGAGAGAGACATTGCCATTGGATATTGCAGATATTTGGTAGCAGCAGAGGAATGTTAGTACTTGGAGATCCAGGGTTCAGTTTCAGGTTCTGGTGAGGAGTTTACTGTGGTGGTTACAGACCCCCCTGTTTCTATCCGTCAGTGATCCTCTCCATTTTTATCTTCTTTCCAGGCTGTTCTTTTCCTACTTCTCCTACCTGTCTCCCCTCTGCATTTGAGTCAGGTTGTTCCTCCTCCTCCTCACAGCATAAGCACCCACTGGGAGACCACTTGAGAGCACTCTGGTCTCAGTTATGGTGCCCAGTGCCACAACAGTCCTCAACAGCAATTACAGGAATAGTCCTGCTCTGTGGGGGTTAAGCATGCCCAGTGTTGTTGGCACAAAGTCCTGTGGGGTGGAGCATAGCCATTGTGGCTGGCATGGAGCTCTATGGGGATGGAGCATGGGCAGTATGTTGGCATAAAGCCCTGCAGGGGTGGAGCATACTCAGCATAAACAGACTGTTCAGAGAATTGTACTGCTAGCCTCTAACAAACCTCTACTGAACATGTGCATGAGGGCAGTAAAAGGCACCTCTCCGATCCCAGGGTTACCCCTCTGTCAAATTTGAAGACACTGCTCCAAAGCATGGAGGGCTAGAGCTTCTCCACAACGTGATTGTAAATGCTTTTTAATATAAGCAAAACAATTTCTTTTTCCCAAACCTCATTCTTGGAAATGACTGAAACTATTTTTCTGGCACTTTCCAAAATATTTCAGCCCAAAAGGAGAAAATGTTAGCCCAAATCGTTAAACTTTGGGAAAGCAATAAGTAACTGAAAGCGAGTCTTGTCTTATGGAAAGCAGTAGTCAACCTTAACTATGGACACCACTGCCCTCTGCACTTATATCTTTTTGTTTTCCTTTTAAATATTTTTGCTGTACATTCATTTTCAAATTTTAGCAAAAAGTAAAATGATGCAAATAGGGGAAATTGAATATTTGTTTCATGACAGCAAATCAAATTCTTCAGGACACATGGAAAGCAGAAGGTCATTAGTCAAAAAATCAAAGTACAGGGGGGAGGGATAGCTCAGTGGTTTGAGCATTGGCCTGCTAAACCCAGGGTTGTGAGTTCAATCCTTGGTGGGGGGGCTACTTAGGGATCTGGGGCAAAATCAGTACTTGGTCCTGCTAGTGAAGGCAGGGGGCTGGACTCAATGACCTTTCAGGGTCCCTTCCAGTTCTAGGAGATGGGATATCTCCATTTAAAAAAAAAATACATGGACCCTTCAACAACAAATGAAAAAAAATGAGAGCTTTGCCTAGGGGGTATGGACCTGCATTCTATTCCCTACTCTGCCACATTCTTGAATCTTTTTCTGATGAACTCCAATTGAGGTTTTGCGATTGACTTCGGTGGGCAAGTCACTTAATCTCCCTCCATTTAGGTTCCCCTATGTGTAAAATGAAGACAGCACTAACATCACAGGGCTGGTGTCGACCTTAGTTGATTAATGCTTGTAAAGCCCACTGAGATGGTTTTATAGGAATGCAAAGAATTGTGATTTAAGGAGATAGATCAAACCAAGCCAGCAGGTGAAGCC